GATGTTATCCTTGACCAGGCTGCTTGCCGCCCTCCCCTGTACCTCCTCCTTAATTTACTCTTTATTTTTTTGCCGTGCACCCCCAAAGGCTTCGTGTTTTGGAGCGCGACAGTATCTCGGCGTGGACGTCGGGGCTGGCAGAACAGCTTGCCCTGCTCCTGGGATGGCCACGGCGTAGACGAGGGGAAAACCCATCACTTGGTTGAATAAAGACGTTTTATCTTCTGAATAAAAGTAGCTGTTTCACAGCCGAACACGTTGGGAGTCTTGGAAAGCTGAGGATTTTCATCAGCTCTGAGTAAAGTCATAGTGTTAATGCACTCTTCAGCTTCCTACCAGTACCAAAAAAAGTTCTTTATTCAGAAAATAAAAATCTAAAGAACACACATTCCCATGACCCTGCCGGGAGTTTGCATCTTGCTGGCCTCAGTTTTAACATTTGAAGAACCATTTGTTACAGCTGGTGCCCCTTTACATCCAACCTGTCCTAACAAACTAAATCAATCAAGTAATTAACTCGCTCACGGGGTGGGCATGTGACCACACAGGGCTACTGCACAAACCCCTTTTCCTGCCTAATTTGGCCAGTGTTGAAGCCCTTCCACGTAAACTGATCTGCTCTGGTTGTAGGAAGGGGCTGGGGACAATTCCGAAGCCTTGGACGCGCAGGCCGGCTCGGTGGACGAGGAGAACGGCCGCCAGCTTGGAGAGATAGAGCTGCAGTGTGGCATCTGCACCAAGTGGTTCACAGCAGACACGTTCGGCATCGACACCACGTACGTAAGCGCTGCCCGCGCAACTCGAGGGCCTTTGGTGGCCCCTGTTTGCTTAAAAATACCCCCTTGCCAATGCCCTTGTGTGAATCTGGCTGGCAGGTGGCAACCTCCCTGCCCTGTGGTACCTGTTGCTTGAGGCTAATTAAGAAAACTGATGCAGGTGCTTAAACCTGAGGAAAATTAAAGTTGCAGCAGCAGCAGCATCCTTGGCCAGTGCAGCCGCAAAGTTACGTGCACTAATTTAACCTTCCATTTAACTGACCGGGAGGTGTTAGGTCAGATTTGGTCCTTAGTCATGCAGGAGGTCAAAGGAAGAAAGTCTTTAAGGTGCAGGAGGTCAAAGGAAGAAAGTCTTTCCTTAAAGACCCCATTTGGGAGAACTTCCAAGTTCTGAAGGGTCATCATGTGGTAAAATAGATGCTGGATTTAGGGTAGGTTTGTGTGAGCAAAAATGGGAGCATTTAGAAGGGCACAGTCCTTGTCCTTGAGAATTGACACTGTGTGTTTGTATGTTATGCAAATAATAATAAATTTTACCAAACACACCTGGAGATGTTTATATTTTCTTGCAAGTTTTAATAAAAAATCTTGGTACAGACATCAGAAGGCTGTCCAGGAGCCAGCCCCCTCAGTCGCTCTCAGATTCTCTTGTTGAATGCATTTCAGGACTTGCCTAAAAGAAAAAGGGGATAACACTTAAACCTAAGCAAGTTATGCCAAGAGAATTCTGTAATTTGAAGGAAATATCATGGAACTTAATTTGCTTTTGACCGTGAGGAGAGAGAGGAATCCCCATTTCTTACTGGCTGTGATAGGAAATCTGCCTGTCAGAGCCTCCAATTCAGTTTGGTCTTTTCCAGATCCTGTCTGCCTTTCATGACCAACTACAGTTTCCATTGCAACGTTTGCCACCATAGTGGGAACACCTATTTCTTAAGGAAACAAGCAAGTAAGCGTAAAAACACAGTCACTGGACTTTGGTCCAAAATGATCCTAGATTATATGTAATCCTCGGTGCAAAATAATCCATTTTGTCTAACATCTGTGGGAGGGTTTGCCAGAGCTTGGCAAAAATGACAAATGGGTGACAAATGGGCTGCTTTTCCTCAAAATTGCTATTTTGCTGTAAGCTTCCTGAGATGGGAAGTGTCTGTGTGTGTTTCATCCTCTCCCTAAGGAGTGTGACTCAAGCTTTGGTGTGTTTTTGTTTTTAAGATCTCAAGGAAATGTGCCTTAGTGCTCTGGCCAACTTAACGTGGCAGTCAAGGACGCAAGACGAGCACCCAAAAACTATGTTTTCCAAAGATAAGGTACGAAAGGGGTCAAGATTAAACGAAGTTCTCATTTCACTAAAGAGCAAGATCAAACGAATGTTGGCAGTGCAGCATGACTTTTAGTTGTCAGCACTGGCAGATGCATTAAAATGATGCAACAGCTCAGTGCGAAAGGCCTCAAGTTCCCCATGCCAGCACTGCTCAGCCTTGATTTGATTTGATTTTTTCTTAAAACAGGATATTATCCCATTCATCGATAAATATTGGGAGTGTATGACAACAAGACAGAGACCTGGCAAGATGACTTGGCCTAATAATATTGTCAAAACAATGGTAAGTAATTAAACTTGAGCCATGTTTTAGCCTTTTCTGTGAAGAACTCAGTGTGATCTGCTGCTGTTTAACTTGAACTCCTCTGCTTCAGTGTAAAGAGAGAGATGTGTTCTTGGTGAAAGAACATCCAGACCCAGGGAGTAAAGATCCAGAAGAGGATTACCCAAAGTTTGGACTTCTCGACCAAGTATGTACTTAGAAATGCAGGGAAAGTGTATTGAGGGATTTGGCAGGGAGGGTCCTTTTTGCCTTGTATTTTGGTGGCTTTTATGCCACCAAAAGCCTAGAATTCGCCAAGATACAGAGCCAGATTGTTGCCTTGTGCTGTGTTGTCCTCCCCAGTGGAAACGTTCCGTGTTTTGGCTGAGTCTGTGTTTGTCTGCTCGCTTTGCAGGATCTCGCCAATATCGGGCCAGCGTATGACAACCAGAAACAGAACAACGCCGTATCCACGAGCGGAAGCCTAAATGGCAAGTCCTTTAATTAGGCATTTTTTGAGTGTTTGGAACTAACCTGTATTTTCTACGTGTCGATCCTGGGCACCTGTGCAGTTTCATTGGTTGAAATCCTACCATTAATAACTGCAATTCACATAACAAATTTATCTTTATGTTCAAAACACACTGAGCCCACCCGACCTTACTTTTTTTATAGGGATAGATTGACTTTACCTTATTGTAGATGTTCAGCTTGATTCTTTTTGGTGGCCAGCCCAAGTGGATGCATGTAAGAAAGCTGAGCTCTTCAGTTTTCTTCCATGATATTTTTAATGAATGTACCCAATTTCCTTTATTCCTCGCCCTGAGATTTGAAAGTGATAATAGGAATTAAGTTTATTAAACTTCCATAAAATTACTGCTTGCATTTTACTGTTGTTCCTCTTAGTGAAGCAAGAGCCGTGATCAGAATTTTGCTGATTAAAATTATTTTACCAAGCTAGTAACGCACACTATCAGATTTCTTTGTACACAAGACTACACCATTACTTATAAAATGCATCCTGAATTAGTACCTAGTAAGAGATATTTAAGTAAGGTATAGATGTCTAAGACTACACTGTCTCCATGTGCTGGTTGTTTTTCCTCAAATTATGACGAGTTTGGCGAATACATGGTGCCACTTCTGTTCTTACAGGTGGAGCCTCTTTGGGAGGTGAATATTTGCCTTTCAGCTTCTAAAACTTAAGTATTATTGTGGTTGGAAAGCTTTTTTGCTCAATTGTCTTAGAAGCTCAACCCGATTAAAGATCAAAAGTGTGTCCTGTCGTGATTGCAGTAATACTTTAATAGAAAACAACAATTTCACTTTTTAAAGTTTAGCCCTTGGAAGCTTTTGATTTATCATATTCTGTCTCACCTGCCCGGTTTAAAGTTGTGTTCTCAGTGAAGTTTGGTTTTCCTTTTAGGATTTAACCTGCTCTTATTGTAGTCTCAGAGCAGCTCTAAATCTCAATGCTTAAATAAGTGCTCTGAATCTGCAAACTCCTATGATATTCTGATTGATTAGATACATAAATGGCCATAAACAGGAGAATCTGAACGTTTGTCTGTACTAAAACTAGGTTCAGCTGGTCACGTTTGTGCAGAATATGATATTCCTTCCAAGGCCCGAGCCCCTTCCACTGCAAGAGGAATGCTGATAATTTCAAGACCTGCTCTATTCTTAGTTACAACCTAGTGTGCAGTGCAAAAGGTGTTTTTCTGCAGTACCTTGCTTTTTGGAATTGTTTATTCATTCCATCATTATGCTTTTTGATATATTAAAAATGAATACTGGGATGAGTGTATATATAATATATATAAAATTACATAATCATATGTATATAAATGAATATATAATTTGAAATGCGCCCTGTCCTGTACTGGAGTTTGTCCACAAGTGAAATTTGGGTGCTGTAATCCAAAGTGTCGTGCTCTTTGTTCTACAAATCACAGTAATCGTTGGGTCGTGCTGAAGAGAAACACCTCGATTGCTTTTCCTTTTTTTCCCATCTTAGGAATATTTTATTTTCTAGATTGAAATTAACTTTACGTGCTTATCGCTAACGCAGGTGTTGGTGTCAAAGTGCTTCTCCAGCAAAGCGTGTGTCGCTGGGATGGCAACTTTGCTTTAAACCAGATGATGCCGAGCGCTTACGTCCTGCAAAAACCACACGGGACCGCGAGCCTGGAATCTCCACGGAAGCCACCGGTGCTGCTTTGAGACCAGATCCAAACGCAGCTTCTTGTAGATCATCTGATGAGAGAGCAGAGTCATAGTTCTTCTCTTAAAACCTTGAGTTGAGCTCGTTTAGTTGCCAGCTCTCACGTAACCTGTAAATTACGTTTCAGAAAGTGCTAATAAGCTCCAGATTTTCCTGGGCTTTGTATCAAGCGTTCCAGATCTAAATGTGCACAGGAGCTAACGAAGGGCTTTAAATCTGGCTGCTTCCGTGTGTGGAGACTCCATGCTCGTGAGCGCCCTCCGGTCATCCCTCGTTTAATCCCCGGGATCTCTGTTCAAAGGCGGAATCGCCGCGGGAGGCAGCGGGAAGGGAAGGGGAGCGAAACGCAAGCAGCAGGACGGCGGGACGACGGGAACAGCCAAGAAAACCAGGAGGTAAAGAGCTACCACGGGCGGCGCGGTGATGGGTACCAACAGCTTGTGTGGTACAGTTGGGGACAGTGTCATCCCGTACAACCTGTTGGCTGTTAGTGGGAGGGGGCAGCTGTAGTTTTAATGCCCCCAAATGCCTCCCATCCGGCTCTGCCCTCGGTAGGTTTATGAGGAGTCACAGCAGAGAGTTTTTAGGTCTGTGCTAGGAATGGTTTTAAATAAGCAAGGAGCCCCCTGGAAGTGGAAGCACGAGCACTGCGGGTGCGTTTTGTGGCCAGGCTGCAGTGCAGAACCCGAACTCGCTCCCGGGGATCCCGGTGCCCCAGGGCACCCCGAGACCGCCCCGTTGTCCCTGTGTCCCGCAGCGACCCGCTGTTCTCGGCGCAGCGCCTGCCTCCCCACGGCTACCCCCTGGAGCACCCCTTCAACAAGGACGGGTACCGCTACATCCTGGCCGAGCCGGACCCCCACGCGCCCGATCCCGAGAAACTGGAGCTGGACTGTTGGGCGGGAAAGCCCATTCCCGGGGATCTCTACCGAGCCTGCCTGTACGAGCGGGTCCTGCTGGCGCTGCACGACCGAGGTACAGAGCTCGTTGTTTCACTGACATTCCAAACACAATCAAGAGGCAGGAATCGACCCACCTCTGCGCATCCGCGTGCTGTTCCACGCGGCTGCGCTGCCCAGTCCCCCTCCTCTCCCGCAGCTCCCCAGCTGAAGATCTCCGACGACCGGCTCACCGTGGTGGGCGAGAAGGGCTATTCCATGGTCCGGGCCTCACACGGCGTGCGGAAAGGCGCGTGGTACTTTGAGATATCCATGGACGAGATGCCGCCGGACACGGCTGCCAGGCTAGGCTGGTCGCAGCCGCTCGGTAAATCAACCTTTCCCATCAGCAGGCATTCCTACGCGTTATTTTTCTTCCCCTTCCATGATTTAGACCTCAAAAGAAAGTCATGGCTGGTGTTTTTCCACCCTGTGTGTGGAAAATTTTCAGCAGGTGCTGTAAAGCGCAGCCGCCTGCCTGGCCTTGCTTGAGTCAAGGTCTTCCTGCTAATGGCAAGAGTATCTCTAAACTGAAAGTTTTGCAACAGCCAAAAAGCAAACAAACAAACTGGAACTGGGGCACACAGCTGTGATGTTGCTGTTACACGCTCCTGAGAAATGTTGTTTTCTGTAGGGAATCTCCAGGCACCGCTGGGATACGACAAGTTCAGTTACTCCTGGCGCAGCAAGAAGGGAACGAAGTTTCACCAGTCGATAGGGAAACACTATTCGGCTGGCTACGGACAGGGGGATATCCTGGGATTTTACATCAGTCTTCCGGAAGATACCGAGACTGCTAAATCACTGCCGGACACCTACAAAGATAAGGTAAGATCTGCAGCTCGCGACGTTGGCTAGTGGAAAATAGGCTCCTCTAGCCTCATTTCTGACATAGTTATTTCCCCACGTTCCAGGCTCTGATAAAATTCAAAAGCTACTTGTACTTTGAGGAAAAAGATTTTGTGGACAAAGCAGAGAAGAGCCTGAAACAAGCGCCTGGGAGCCAGGTGAGTTCCATGGTGGGAGGCAACCCGGGAATGTTCTGACAAAAACTAGTGCCTTGATGCAAAGTTGGGCATCAAGTTTTTATAGTCTGTCATAAAGCAGGGGGGGGGATAAAGCTGATGAGGGAAATGGGAGGAACTTGGCCCTCATGTGTTAATTACAAATTTTCCTTTTCAGATCATCTTCTTCAAAAACGGTGTCAGCCAAGGTGTTGCCTTTAAGGACATTTTTGAGGGCGTTTATTTTCCTGCTATTTCTCTCTACAAAGGCTGCACGGTAGGTATTGCAGTGCACTTTAGGAATTCCGACCTTTAAAGGGGATTGCCTCGAGGGGAGGTGGATTATTTTAGCAAAATGATTCTGTAATGCTAGGCCTGAACTTTATGAGAGCGCTATTCTGTCAGCAAAGGGTGTTTGTTCATGTGCTCTGGTACCACTGGGGACTATTATTATTTTTCATGCTTTCTCTAGCTACTGCCATACCTGTTTTTTCGTAGGTTTCCATCAACTTTGGACCATATTTCAAGTATCCTCCCCGAGACATCACTTACCACCCAGTAAGTAAAACTCCAGGCTGCTGCTTTGTCCTTCCTTTGCGACAGCCTCAGGGCTTGTCACTGACAGGCACTTAAGAATTTGACATAGTTGGGGGGTGGAAAAATGAGATTGATTGTCCTTGTTAGGACAGTGTAGCTCTCTAAAGGAAGGAACATCTTTACTACTTGTGTACACAACTAAAATCCTTAAGCTGCCTTGGAAAATACTCAGACTGAATTCTTTACCAAAAACAGATACTCTGAGTATTTCAGTGGGGAAAACAAAGGAAATAAAGCACCTCTAAGGAATCCCTGTGCTGTTTGGATAAT